CGAGCTGCCCTGCGTTATCTGCGTGAAGTTTCCGCCGGTGCAAAAATAAGCACCGGCGCCCTGAAATAACATTGATCAGCTCTCTGCATAGCAGCCTATTCTCCGAAGCGAAATGATGCATACGGTCAGGTCTGCAATTAGGGAATCGCTCTGAGCGTTGAAGTGGACTACGTCATTCAGTTCGATGACCGACATTGAGGCAGTAGAAACTACAAGGCGCACCGTGCGTTGGTCGCGTGTTACTTCTACACTCGGAAATTGTGTTGAGGTAACCACGACAGCTTCGGCTCCTGATCTGGAGTGGAGATACGACTTTAGGAGGACAGACGCTTCGGCGTTGGGCAACGAGATGCTAATGCGCATGCCAGCGCCAAATGCAGGGGCAAATTGCTAGTGCGCATTGCCTCGGCGCTCCACAATCAGCAGATCCGACGCTGTCGCAAGTGGCTCGATATCCGAAGCAGTGTCAGATACAAGAACGAGCGATGTTGGCAATTCACAATAGCAGAACGCATACGCTAAAGTCCAAATACCATCAGCGGTTTCTTGTGGACTACGCGCGCAGCAGATCACGTGTTAATGAGAGCTGGGCTGCATCTGACGAAGAACAGTATCGACGCTAGCGATGCCGAGTCCCGTCATGCGAAACCGCAGAATGTTTTGTGCGCATAGCGATGTTTGGATCCATACGCAAAGTTATCGATTCGTTGCCTTTTCTTTCTGGTCTGAGTGGAAAAGAATAGGACTCAAAGGACCCTTGCTTTGTATTTTTGGTGCTACTTTTGACACATTCGCCAATCATGGAGTGACCTTTGTACTATTCTGACCAATTCATCGAGCAAGCGAAAGGGAAAGCACATTTTCTATGTACGATACCTCCGCTATTGGCGGCGCCGTGCTTCATTATTCAACAAAAATACAAGGTTAATTGTGGCAAGTCAATGAATGTGTTGCAAGGAAGACATGCCACTCCGTCGAGAATCAACAAGTTGACGGGGGGTACTGCTTGGCATCATTGCTTGTATCACAATATTGCTCACTCCAGTAGGTATCTACGTTTGCATATGCCATTTGATTGCTAGGTCGCAGTAGCGTAGTCGTGTTGCGGGCCCCAACACGAGGCGCGACGGTCACAGTGTATGCGAGAGTGAGCGCATGAGAATATGGACTAGAAGAAGCATCATGAAACGCAGAAACGACGCCCCTTTTGAGCAGATCCGCACTTTCCCATGAGAGCTGTGGAGTGCGCGCAGCGGGTGAACATTTCGACAATGTTTCTCCATGAGCTTGAGTCCCGCACGTCCTCCAGTCAGCATCGAGCATCCAGTTGAATACACGCAAGCTGTATCTCTGAAAAATACCAAGTAGGGGAGCTCGGAGCTTCGTAAGAGTTTTCGAAATCAATCATCGTGCGTGCTGGTCAGAAGCCGCCCTTTTCGGTGAATTCGCCTCAGTGTGATGACCCAAGCGTGCTCTCTGAGTCCTGGAAACTGTATGCAGCACCATGGCATGTATCCATCCCCTCTAAAGACAGTGAATGTACTCGGCTGTCACCCCCCAAGAGCAAGAGCCTTCGTCCACCAACATCTCTTCAATCCCTGCCAAGGGGTATCTAAATTGAAGCTGCTGGGTGCTGTGCGTTGAGGGATCGGTCGCCAAGACTCCTGGGAGAATCGTCTACATCTGCGAGCCCATGGTCGATTCTGACGCTAAACGCTAATCCAGAGAGCAAAGAAACTCATGTTCTTCACCTCTCGAGGTAATGACCTCGATCAACCCGCTCCTCAGTGCCGTGCTCGCGTCAAGGTCCTCTTGAAGCAGCACCCATCGTCGAATGAGGTGGGATCTGACCCGCCTGCGAAGTCCCAAGGGGGCAATGCCCAGGGGTTGATGAAGCGTGACAGACAGTCCAAACGTAGACTGAGACGTCGCAATCGCGAGATCTGCAACCGCAATCATCAGCATTCTCCCCCCTGTGGTATGCCCGCGACTCGAGGAGACGATCGGAAGATGACTGATTCATGACGAGAAGTGATTGAGAAGGGTTGTCTCTGCCACAATGCTTTCGACGCCACTCTAGGCAGTAGTGGCAAACGCCAAAACAATGATTCGTCCAGGATCCAGGACCGGGATGAGCTCCTCGAGGAACGAGTCAGTCACCGAGTCCTAGGCTAGCTCGACGCGGACGACACGCGAAGAATCCAGCGAGTCTACCTTGATCAACGTGACTGCAGAATGAGCTTCGTAGGCACGGACCCCCATTGCACTGACTCCCTTGAGATAAAAGGCTGCATCCTATCAGCTCCTGTGATGTGACGGCTCGTATCCGAATCGTCCATGTGTCATCTCAAAAGCGTTGATAAGTAGTAGGGCGTCCTCAATCGGTGTTTGCTATCGATCACGCAGGCCGGCGAGCAAATCTGAGGCGTACACGGGCGCAGCAGTAGCGTCCAGTCCGAACATACTAGCGGCGCAACCAGATCCATACGCCATGCATAGGATGCGTTGATTGGCCAGGGCAGAGCCAATCGTGAGAGCGAACGACAGCAGACTCGCATAGACCGGGCACGTGTAGGTGGTTGCATTTTGGGCACTCATGGCAATGCCAGCCTCGACATGCTTTTGGAACAGATTCTCGTGTTGCGCCTTGGTGAGTTTACCGTACATCACTTCACACATGAGTCACAGGTTCCTCTTTGAATGATAAGGAGCGTTGTTGTGGTACGCGACTAGATCGAATGTTGTCAATAGATCCCGTCGACCCACCGTTTCACTAAATCAGCCCTAGCACCACATCATGGCCTCTTCGTATTGACCAGTTGCGATGTTCAAGTCAAAGAGCGCATCATTTGTGCGCCACCCGATTGGCCGATAGAAGTCCCACGAGTGCTTGACGAAGGTCGTGCGCTCTCGTTAAAGAAGCAACGATGCTTGCGACGCTACTACAAGGGATATTGAGGAGGCTCCAATGGCAGAGATGGTCGCGGGATCCGGATGGACCGCCGGGTCGGAACAGACCACGACACCGTACGTGCCATTCCATGCTTTGCTCTGGATCCAGCTCGTGGTACTGAACAGGGCATTTGTGCCACCATAACACGCGTTGAAAGTGTCGAGCCCTTCAACACTGTGGTGGTCGTCAGCTTCAAATAACGACATCAAGAACGACTTGGTTGACTTGCCGCGGTCCACAGCGCTTTCTGTGCCGACCTCGAGGCGTCCGACTTCTATGAAGGCCAACTCACATCATCGAAGCAGTCTGCTTAAACTTGACAATGCTAGCGAGACAGTGTCTTCATCATCGCTTACAAAAGTGATATTTTCCTGCCCGCGCCCCATCGTGTACCTGCCGGGACTGACATGGAATGCTTCCGCACTTGAGGCCTTCAGGGCTAGATTTGGAGCGTAGTAGGACAAAGCGCCAATGCCGATGTCTTTACGGTCGACAGCTATGCTACCATCAATCATTGGAGCTAAGGAAGCACTGCATCGCTGCACGTGGATCCCCCGCGCCACCACCGTGTTATCCCAGGATGCAGCGTCTGCCACGAGAAAACGCACGGCGCGATCTGAGACCATCGCGCGATACAGGTGCTTTGTCTGCGTATCAGCGCTCCGATGCGAATACATGTCGATCGCGAGTATTTCTTACGGGCTGTCGACCTTACCATTATCGAGGGCCGACGCTAATCATAATAGGAGCTGTTCAGCAGACTGCGCCTATGACTCGCCAGAAGGAGGAAGCTATAACATCGCCCTGCCACAAGGCTCAAACAGCAGCGTGCCGAGTGCTTCACTGCGGATGTTGCAAGTCTGCGAAGCAGCTGATCAGAGAACGTTCTTCGGAATCTCAGTGCATGGCCGATCCTGCAGCACCACACCGCACGCAAGCACTCGAGGCTGTCACGACTGCGCCACAACAGCCCAAGTATGCGCCGTAGAGTCAATGCGACAACCAAGCACGCTGTTGTGAGTCTGCGACATGATTCAGTGGTTGAAGCAAACGACACCAAGAGATGCATGCAGTCCACCGCCTGCCAGCGACAAAAGGACCGTATATGCGCACGTGTTGACGTCACGATCTCCAGCGCGGGGGGGCGTTGTCGCGCTTTGGGTGACTCCAGAATCCTGTTGCGTCGTCCATCGACTTGCTTGCCACAAACAAGAGCGGCTGGGTTACTGAGCACGATAGAGGGAGAGCATTAGTAGCTTGTCTGTGTTCAGAGCTAGCCCGTATCGCACCAGAGCTACAAAAGCCCCATGAGCAATTGTCCCTGTCGCCCCAAATGAGCTGAGTCGACCCAAAGGTGCTCACGACAGAGG